CACGAGGGCTCTCTGCGCTAGCCATCCCTAATTTAGCAGTGAAAGAGTAGAGGGAAGGCAGATAGTCATCACCACCCACCGCAAACTCTTGGGCTAATCTTTTTACCAACGAATAGTGGGATTGACCGTAACATTATAACGCCCCCACGGCTGAAAGGGCGAGCATGTTTGGTGGGACGGGGCAATGTATGTGTATTGAATCGGTAATGAACAGTATTCAAACATTAAGAAAATGTAGATTCTTTCAATAAACGTAAAAATATTTGTCATATACAGTTTGAGAAGTAAAACTTTTCGAAATGAAAGGGCAAAAAATACTGATTTCTGTAGAACCTCGTAACACTTTATTGTTATGTGTGGAAAAGCTAAAACTAAGAACCAAAGCAGTGTATTTTGAAAATATAAAACTACATAATTTGTACAATGAACATTAATAAGTTCGTTTTTTAAAGGTCAAAGTTTGGTAAGTCATATTCTGTTCGTCATCAGTTAGACGACGTTTAATTCCTAAAAATATTAAATGATCATAAATATTTTGTCATAATTTTTTTTTCAAACAAAATGGAAGTTTTCTAGCCAAAATAAAAGAAAAGAAAAAAGAAACAAAACTACTGTAGAATTTTCTGTTATCTCATTATGGATAAAATATGCATGCTAATTACTCTTCTCAATAATTAAAAATAGCAAATGTTTTGCTTTATCCTGAACATTATGCATATCTAGCACTGTTTGAGTAAATATACCTAGCTAACCATAAATGGATTACCGATCCGTGATAATACAGTAATCTTATACTTAATTTGAAAAATACAGTATTTTTTTTTAATCAAGTTGCATATTAATAAAAATCATAAACAAAATCTTATGTTATAATCATGTCACGCGATTACCTAATACATTCAAAATAAATTCAGTAATAAACCCATTATCACGCCCTCTGGTGGCCCAATATTACCACACCTTTTTATACCCTTCTGACGTTACGAGTTGTATGATTTCAATGCCAAACAGCATCAAAGGTTTAAGTTTGTTTTGATATGGGATGAACATCTTTAGGGCCATCTATAGTTTAATTCGTAAAACTAAACAGCTTTCAAATGAAATCAACTAGCCAGACACCTTTCAGAATAGCAATAATTACTCGGGCCAAGGCTGATGCTACAATACATTAGAAAAATAACTATTAAAACAGAATACCTTTGGTACACAACGGAGTTGCGAGGACTTTTGAAGATTTATTGTAAATAAC